ACATCCAAGATGGAGGAAGCTTGTTGATAATTGCTCCAGAAATGAAGGTTTGACAAAGATTAATCTTTTCATCCTTCAGCTTCATAATAAGCTTTTCGAGCTCTTTGACTTGAGGCAAAATCTCAGTGTCATCTTCAAATTTGAAGTCCAGAAACTTGTTAATGAGATGAGACTTGGAAAGCTTCTTCTCATTCTTGTATTGCTCCCCCAGAGCATTCCAGATTTCCTTTGCAGATGGCTTGTTAGTGTAAGCATCTGACATATGATCAGCCAGACAGTTAAAGAGATAACTCCTGCAGAAATGATCATCTTTAGCCCAAGAGGCTTCAGACTCAGAGTTTTTTTTAAAGTCAGGTTTCTCCTCAGAAATCACATAGTAGATTTTTAGGAGTTGTATCCCGAAAATCACTTTCCGACGCCATGCGTTAAAGTTGGATCCATTAAAATTCTCTAACTTGAGACAATCCACTCTAAGAGTCCTCGCAGGATCCATTGTAGATTAAAATATTATTTTAAGATTGTTGAAAATGGTGGTTAAATCTAGAATGAAACATGTTATGGTGTTCACTCACCCGAGATATAGATATTTGCAAAATACGATAAGAGCCCTATCAAAACAAACACAACTCTTTGGCCGACTCCCACAGTTTCCTCTCGGCCTCAGGGAAAGGAAAGCCCTAGTCAACTCTCAAGAGTTATAGGCATTCGATTCCTCAGTCGAATTTTAAGCCATTGATACCTCATCAGGGTAAACCCAAGGTACAATGACTCCTCAGTCGGATAACAAGCCCTTAGCTCTTTATTAAGGTAAGCCCAAGGCACAACATATGGTCGAATCCTTTAGTGTAACTTGACGATTATGGCTAATCACAAGACCTTGATACCCTATCAGGAATAAACCCAAGGCATAATCACAGAGGCCTTCACCCCACCGACTCATCAAGCTGATTCTCTGGTGTCGACACCAAAGGCGATATTGGTCAGCACGAGAGATCCTGACCTCCCATACGAGTCGACATCTTTATATCGACTCGAGAGACGGTTATTAGCTGAGACGAGATGATATTCTAACCAGCCGGACATACCGATATTCTTGAGTCGACGCGAAAGGCGGCATCGGTCGACCCTATCATCAATGACGACCCTACTTAAGGCACTCGACTACTCACTGGGCAATTCTTAGAAACAACTAGAAGGACATTCCCTGCTACCAATTAAGTTGAGATTTCGGCACCAGCCCCAAACCTCCCAGCCCCAAGCCTCTATCCCAGAGAATATGTCGACACCACAGTCTACCTTGGACAAGCCTTATCCAAATTTTGGCCTGATAGGTCTCCATGACTTTTCAGCTCAATCACTTCCCAGAAAATACTGAGATACGCTCTCCCATGTCAAAGTGACTTCCTCTCCAGTCATCAGCCGACACTTGTAAAGCGAGGGATGATTTGACATGCCAGCATACCTTCTTCCATGCTCTTAATCACTTCCCAGAAAATACGGAGGCACACTCTCCCATGTCGAAGTGACTTCTCTTCCAGTCGCCAGCCGATACTTGTAAAGCGAGTGACTCTCTTAATATAAAAGAGAGAAAGAAAGCTCAAGCAAAGGTAGACTAAGTCTCAGACCTAATTTCCTCTCACTCGGATCCTCAAAAAGAGAAAGAACACACAGTTCTTCATCTAGATAGAGGAGCTCACTCTGATCCTCTAAACATGTATATTACCACTTCAAGAACCACATTGGTTCCAGACCTTCCCCTTTCCCACTCGAGTTTCACTAACTTGACTGTCGGAGGAACTACGGGGGAACCGGTCCCCACCCTCTCACGGGTCTTTCTTGTTTGTGTAGTATGGACTTCAAGCCCCTGTTCAAGAACCATGCATAAAGTCGGAGAAGAGAGTAGGCCCTCCATCATCCTTCAATACCCCACAACCATCCTCTTCTGGATTAGTCTGTTTGATATCGAGCATAAATAAAATAGTGAAATTTTGATGTGCTGTAATTTTAAACTTTTTTAAGTTAACTGCTGTGCGTTTGTGAAACGCTGTGCTTAAAGCAATATTTGGCCTACTCCGGTGCAAGGATCCCAAGGCCGAACTACTTTCAGGAACAGCGGTACAGTACTTTGGTATGCACCAACCCAGTATTGTTAAGATCTCCTTAATCTAAAAGACCTTTCGGTCAAGGCAAAGATCTTCTCAATCTCAGAACCTTTCGGTTCAAAACCTTTTGGTTCAAAACCTTTCAGTTTTAGGGAAAGTTCCTTCAAGCACAGTTTCTATAGCAGCAACACAACAACAGCAACAACATCAAGATCTCCTCGATCCGACGTTCGTTTTCTAAGTCTATTTCAAGAGCTGCCCAAGAGGTGCTATTTATAGGCCTTTAAGGTCAGCTCAAGAGTCACCCTCAATTAATGTGGCTGTTACAAATCATAACGACAATTATGATTATAATAACAATCCATTAAATTGATGTTAATGCTATTGTAACTGCTACATGCAGTAATTCCTGAATACGAGGCAATCAATGGACGTATTACTATGAAACATGAGGGTCACGTCTCAGCAAATCAGACGAACCTCGTCGAACGGGCGAAACTCGTCAAACAGGCGAACCTCGTCGAACGAGCGAACCTCGTCAAACATGTGAACCTCGTCAAACATGTGAACCTCATCGAACGAGCGAACCTCGTCAGATAGGCGAACCTCATCGAACGAGCAAACCTCGTCAGACAATTGACGAACCTCGTCTGATTGTGAGAACGCTAGGGTCATACCCTCGTGCGAATGCGTAGCTCGTCCGCATGCTGCGAGTGTAAAGTGTGCCTAACAAAGCGCCACTTAGCACCTCAGCCCGATTAGCCCCTATCCCTAGCCCATTGGCCCACGAGCCCACGTGCCTATGGCCCACAGCCCACGACCCACGACTCACGACCTATTAGAACTTATGAGGGATTAATTAAAATAAAATACTTCTCAGCTTGCCGTTGGCAAGCCTCAAACAGAGGACCTTTTGAAGGACAAAATTTTAAAAACAACCGTTTTGAAAAATTAATGAGCAAAATAGACCTTCTCATAAAAAAAAAATAGCAAAATCGACCTTTTCCAAATGGACGGGACTAGTAGTCCCGTCCATTTCATGCCCAACTCTCTGCACATTTCACGCCAAAGCTTAATTAATCAAAGCATCCTCGGTGACATCCTCACGACCCCAATCCATGTCCTTCACCTTCTTCTCCTTCTCTCTAACATTCTTCACCCCATCAAGAACCATATCTGCCATCTCCTCAACCTCCACATCCCCCTCCCTCTCAATTTCTTATCTCCAAACGCCTCCTCAATCATCGATCTCAGCTCCATCGGATTGACCACGTTAATTCCCAGCTCATCCCTCACTTGCTTAGCGAACTTCTCCATCCTCCGATCCCGATGACAGTGATCCTCCGATCCTAGATCGTGTTCTTGAACCTCGATGGGGCTTTGGACCGTCACGAGGGGCGAGCGACGGTGCTGAAGTAGGAGATCAAGATGAGAAGAGGGGATCGGCGACGGCGGTGGTTGTGGTTGATGTAGTGGATCCATTTGGGGATGATGGCGACCTCATTAGCGTAAGCAGTCTCTATGAAGGTTTGGGCTTCGTCGTTGAGGTGGGCGATGCGGATCTCGTCG